AAAAAAAAAGAAAAGAAAAGAAAAGAAAAGAAAAGAAAAGAAAAGAAAAGAAAAGAAAAGAAAAGAAAAGAAAAGAAAAGAAAAGAAAAGAAAAGAAAAGAAAAGAAAAGAAAAGAAAAGAAAAGAAAAGAAAAGAAAAGAAAAGAAAAGAAAAGAAAAGAAAAGAAAAGAAAAGAAAAGAAAAGAAAAGAAAAGAAGAGAAAAGAGAAAAAAGAGAAAAGAGAAAAGAAAAGAGAAAAGAGAAAAGAGAAAAGAGAAAAGAAACCCCACAAATTTTACTTGGAAGAACACAAATGGATAGTCTAACCCAGAGATGAAGAGATACATCAGTTTAAGCTGCAAGAGGCCATAATCCCTGAAAAGGACCATCTGCTTTAAATTTCTCAAACGTTTCACTTAGACATGTATTTCTGAACACAAAACTATAAATCCTCTGTACTTGAGAATTCCCTATGCTGACAGTGTGTGGATGATGGTCACCTAAGCAGGATTATTTGCAATGTCAGTTACCAGAAGTTGCAGGCATGACATTTTGTTCTTCTACTGTTGCACAGTCACACGTCTCAATAACCTTTTGGAAATCTCCACAGATGCATACCTGGGCTCAGTCAAACGACCCTGGCCTCTTTTGGTTTGTGCAAGAAGGCTTGTAGTTTAACAACCAGAAATCACCATCCCGCTCTGAAATCTATCTGTCATTAAGCAGATTTATAAGCAGAAGGAAAGAGAGAAACCTTTTAGGCCTGCACCTCTCACTTCCAGCCTTATCAACTCCCGTGGACATTCTCAGTCCCTCAGCTAGCAGTCAATGGACAAGCATTTCCACAGGACTTTTCTCAGCACCAAAACAGCACGGCTACCACACAGGACGTTGATACCATTGAAGCAGCGACTGGCGAAACCACACACAGTGCAGCTTTAGGATGAGATCCAGGTCAGGTTTACCTCATCCACAATGTTTTTTTTCTATCAGAGTTTGTGTATTCACATCCAACCTGGCTATCAGTGTGGTGCTATTCAGTGTGAGGTGAGGGGCGTCTGCACATCTAATACAGGCAAATAAATATTAGGAATTCAGGGGGAAAAAAAAAAAAGTTTGCACTCATCTGATTTTTTAAATCTTCCTCAGTAACTGGACCATGACAAAGGTCCACTTATATTTCCTGCAAAATAATTTGTGATAAAAATGTGATAAAAAAAAATGTGATACTATTTAACTAACACCAGTTTATCATTAATTACTTCAGAAACAAAGCTCCTAAGTTAAATTGCTCTGTGTTGTCTGGCACCTGCAGCAAATAAAAAAGCTCAGACTTTCAAAAGACTCTTTGCATTTGCATAGGAAATGCCACAGAACAAGCTTTCCATATTAACCGGCAGAGAGCCCAGATCAGGCTGTATATCTCCTCTTTCACTCCCATTTGGCTCCTCTTCTGTGTACATGCCTGCTTGCAGGCGTGTTGGATTCAGGCCCCTGAGACCACATTATTTTATGGCTTTGTGCCTGGAGTAAATCCAAAACTGGATCCCCTGAGCTGCTTACTCTGTTCAGTTAAAAACCATTAAAACAGAGTGTACTATTTCAGCTGATTTCATTTGAACAAGTCTTACAAGAAAAGCTTGTCATATTTTGTCTTCAGCTCAAATACCTATTTTTCATATCCGTTTGCAATGCCTAAATGTAAAGAAAATTAAATTAAGTTTTCTAGTTATATATAATTGAAAATTAATGACTTAATCAATATTTGTCTTAAGAAGAGCCACACTGTTGAAATTCCACTTGGTCTTGTACAGTCTCTCAGAATGACTCAGAAATCAAAATGCCTTGGGAATAAATAAGATCAGAACTGAGATGTTCCTCGTAAAAGTTCCAATGATTTGTGGCATCTGAGGACTTTTGGAATCAATAGCCAGTTGGGAACTTTTCTTTTATGAATTTCTTTCACTGCTCTTTGAACCTGTATTTCCCAAGTAGTAGTGTGGTATGACACTGAGTTCTACAGTCCAACTTTGGTTAAAGAAATATTTGTTTTGTTTTGGAAGTGTAACCAGTCTCAACTGATGCACATCTGTTCTCATGCTGTGAAAGACTGAATGATTGTCCACTATTCACTTTATCAATTCTACTCATGATTTCATACATCTCTGTCATATTCTAATCATTCATTTCTTTTCTAGGCTGAGAGAACTGTTCACCTAATTATTCTTTCTTTGGAAGTGAGTTCACTTCTTAATCCAAACAGGAAAAACTGTAGCATATCTAACCAAATGAAACACACCACATAAGCTTTTTTTTAATCAAAGAGAGAATAAACTGGTAAGTGTCATGCAACAAGTTGTATTGGTATAGCTGGGGCCTTTAGAAAGTAATCTAGGTGTAAATTAATATGGAAACCTATTGGAAATGAGGAAAATAAGAAGTATTGGATGTTTTGGATATAAGATACAGGGAACTGTTTCACTCTCCATGGCTGGTGAGGCATTGTTTCAGGCATTACACTTGAAGACAATTTTGGGGAAAGTCTAAAAGAGAAGAATGGTGAAGAAGCATATCGTAAATGGATTTTTAGAGATGTGTATTTGCAGCAAGTTCAGACACAAATTTAGATTTTGGTATACAGTGGCAGTAGAACACTTAGAGAGACTCATGTGTAAAGAGCAAGACTTTCTGCAGAAGCCTGAAGGAACTGCATCAGTGGCATTTGTCACCAGAGTCTCTCCTCAAGCAAGGCAGATGCAAGGAAGAAAATAGAAGAGCTTCATTTTCAGGGCTTACTATGATTATAGGTAAAAGAGAGTCTGCCCAAGAAATGCTAGAATGATTAAGAAAAAGAAAATATAAATTCAGTTTATAAAGTAAAATCAATTTTCAAATATGAGGAAAACAATTAGCTGCAGTGGCACTAGAAAATACTAGCAACAAAGAAATTAATTGTAAGAAATACAAAGTTATGCAATCATGCAGGGAAAATTCACTCTCAGTTCTGAAAAATGCAGAGCATCAAGTTAAAAGATAATAGCTCTGAGGTTCTGCAAATGACTTTGAAGCCTTGTTGAGATCTGTTCTACATCAAACAGAAGCAACAATAGGAATCGCTGGTAGAATACAGATGTTCTATACACAGTAGGGGAAGCACTGGCTTGATCATTAGTTAAGATATGCAAATGACTAAAAGAAATGGAATCCAAAAGTGAACAGCCATTAGGTCTGACAGGAAAAAAATATCAGTGGCATTCATCGTCAGAGAGCCAGGGAAATGTGAATTTTAAAAGTGGTCCTTTAGTATTTGACCAAGAAGTGGTTTTATCATAATCAATATTTGTGTAATGAATGGGTGTTTTATAAATTTACAGAGCAGAGGGTTTGTTTGTTTTAAGCCTCATGGCCACATGAAACAGAAAGGATGTAACCCTGTAGTTCCTAAATGCCATAAGCCACATGTCATAATCAACCTTTAATATTTCCTGCAGCTGACTGCTGCAGCCTCACAGATGACAGATGACCCAAAATACTTTCAGCGAAGGCAAGAGACAGAGAATAAGCCGCCTCTAGAGGCAGCAGAGGTGCCACACCCCAGTATTGTCACAACAAAAGGGACAGAATGGCTTAGACACTTCAGGATACTAATGTTCTCAACAAGCTTTTGTTTTACTTGCTGCAGTTTTTGTGAGTCTGAAACAAAAACTCTGTTCATTTGTTGACCATTTCTGGCAAATATCACTGGTAGGAAGAAGAGACACAGCTACAAAATATGAGGAAGTAGTTCTAAGACATTTCGATGGAAGAAAAAAAAAAAAACAACATTAACCTATGAAAGGCAAGGATGTAAAAACAACTTCCCAGAGTTAATTTTTTTTCTGACACACTGACAGATTTATATTTTAAACATTCCTGGTGTCTTGTTCACAATCATGTCTGAGAAGTAGAGCAACAGATCCCCAGAAAGTAAAAGAGTTCAGCATTAAGGGTGCCAGTGCCTGGGTACCACCTCTTTGTGCAAGCAGGTTCAGGCTGGCTTTCTACACTGGATCTTACAAGCTAGGTAATGATAAATCTCAGCAGATCCAAAGGACAAGGAAAAGACTTCTTTTACAACAGCAGATGGCTTGAGCCAACTTGAAATAACTTCAGGATACACAAAGGCTATTGGAGTTTAACAAGAGGCCAGGCTTTACTCAGCCTGACTTCTAGCACACACTAAAACCTTTGAACATGAACAAATCTATTTACGGAAAGCATGATAAGATGAATACTATCAATCTGCAAATCAATAAAAACAAATGAGGGCAATTCTAGAAAGAACTACTTTACCTTGCACACGTAATCATAAAGAGAGAATTCCCACAATAAGAAGTTGAAACAGTACACATGCTGGCCAGATGCCCAGACTACTACAGAGTTTGCACCATTACACAACATTTTTTGTGGGTTCATCAGCACTCCAAAATCAGCAGAAAGGCAAGGCGAGAAGGGAGAAACGCTTTGGCAGTCCCCAGAATGAGATCCAGCCCCATCAATATTAAATGGCTTGCATCACTATTCTGACTTCAAAACCCTTTTCTTCATGCTGTCTGTTAGGCTTGTAAGCATGGTGACTTTTCAATAAACAGATATAAGTTTTCTAGGAATGTTTACTGTACCATACAAAAAAAAAATCCTGAAAAGGGTTAAAATTTGCCAAGCTTTTGATCTCTGTTTGAATGCAGCAAATCCAAAGTCAGCAGGGGGCACTGAATCCTGGCAACAATTCTTTGCTGAAGAGCATCTTACTGGTGAATGGAAACTGGAAGAGCAGTGCTTCCGCTGTGACATACAAGCCTGGGCAAAACCACAGTAATGCCGGTGGCAAAGCAATGACTTGGGACTGGGAACTGGCCTCAGAACTGATTTTAAGGAGTGGAGTACTCTCCAGAAGAGATGACTGTCTCCTCTTATTCTACCAGTTCAAGAAATACAGATGTCCCCAGTTGGAGTGAGCTTGCAGAAAGGGTCTCCAACAAGCTTCTGATAACAGGAGACTGAGTATCAGTGTTTTCTGTGACTAGAAAATCACACAGTAAATGTTCTCTCATAGTACACTACAGCAGGAAAAAAGGATGGGGTATAGAATGCATAAAACTTTCAGACAGGAGCAATAGTCAAACTAACTCATCAGACCTGGGACTCAACTCTAAGGACAACCTAAAATCGTGCAATGGGATTTTAGCATGATTTTGTCCTAAAACTCGGGGATCAGTTGCAGAAATCGTGGTAAGGGAAATTGGGACAGTTACATGTTGCGCATCAATTTTTACAGATATAAAAGGTGGTCCCTAGGCTTGTTACAGGGAGCCTTTCCATGGGTCTATGAAAAAAATCCATGGAAATTCAGATAAATATATAACTTCTGTGCAAACATGCAAACAGTTAAAAGCGTCATTTACAATTTATTATGCATTTCCTTTCTGAATGAATGAGTTGCTCTCACCATCATCAGTAGAGTGGAAAAATGAATCGGGTATGTTACAGGTTGGGTTCCATCTATACTAAAATGACAAAAATGAACTACCATCCTTCAATTTTAAATAAAAAGGCAAGAACATATTTGACATCAAGTAGCTGAAACAATACTTCCCCTTAAAACACATACAAGTAACCACAACAAAAAAAGGCTTATGCAAAGTTCACGTGAGCAAGAGCATATCACTGGCTATTTATTTTGTGACTTTTGAAGGGGACTATTTTGCTTCAATTTTCTTGATTTACCATGTGCTTAGTGAAGATGTTTGTTAGCAACTGCAATAACTATACCTTTTATAGGATCTCTCAGTTTAGTGAAGGCAATCATTTTCACTGGGAATTTTGGTTTTGAAATCAGAAAAGCCACTCCTAAAAGTAAAAAGTTATTCATAGAAAAGCTAGCATATGGAAACCAAGACAACAAATCCAACAGATAGGGAGGGCACTGCTCCTTGAAGAAGTTGAGTGGGGTTTTTTTCGGTTTTGCATCAAAAGGACACTGCGAAACAGGCCCAAATACCTCCTGTCTTTGCCCAGAGTCAGAAGCCATTTTAAACGCAATGGTTTCCAGACTGGAAAGTAGCATGCACTGAATCTATCTCACCCACAGAAATTTAAGCTGAAAAACCAGCACAGAGGAATTGGAGCTGCCCTAGAGTGGTTTCTACTTCAGAGTTCATCCGCAGTCAGCACAGCCAGTGCTGTTCAGGTGCCTTCCCTGCTGACAGCACCAGCAGGAAGCAGGAACAATTTAATCCTGAAGGTCGGAGCTCTCTACTGTGCGTGATCTCTCACTCACCAGAAAAGATGGACCACGGCTAGACTTTGGAGGTAAAAGAAATCAATGGTGTTTTATTTGTCAGCTACAGAGTAACAGCACTTGCACAGCATTAAAAATTTATCAACATTTTGACAGGGCATGTCAGCATCCTGAGCAATAAAGTGCAATGTGCTTCTGAAGGACAGTTCTTTCAAGATCTAGAAAGGTACAGAGCTGGGAATCTTACAGAAGTACAAGTAAGGCAAAAAATTATTTAGAGCACTAATGGGAGAGAGCTCTGGAAAAGGAGGGAAAACAGGTCATGTAAAGCTGTTTAGAAGCTATGCCCAAATGTGTTGTTTATGCTTTGGAGAGATAAACAAATCCATCTTTCATGAGAGCCATTGAAAGGACAGCGAGAAAAAAGAGAAAAAGAAATGTAACAAATATAAATGTATAGTGAAATGAGCTTTACAAAAAATTTCACACTCTACATGGCATTCCCTGTCACCAACACCACTCTCATCTTTTCTCTCAATACCACATCAGGTATACAGATCAGGACACACCAAAACCATGAGTTCAATTCAAATGAGTTCCATAAGACATGGATATTTCTTCAGAAATGTTTGCAGCATCACTGCTATAAATTTCAAGACCACAACCTAGAACTTCTGCAGATTATCTGAATTACACTTTTTTTCTCCAGACAATTTAATGTGGCTGAGAAATTTCCCCAAGGCCATTGGAAGAGCAATCCATCTTTATGCACATATAACACATTCTAGAGACCCTTTTCCACAACATTTCCACAACATTTTTCCCACTTATAATTTCTTACCTGAAGAGTTTTGACTTTTCCTAAAACGTTCTCCTGTGACATTGCTTGGATGGCCTGTTCACTCTCTGTTCTCCCATCAGGTATAAAAATACTGTCATGGGAAAAAGCTCGACTGCCCATAGAATAATGGGAGGATCTGGAAAAAAAAAACAGTTAAAAAGTAAATAAGCATGGCAATGAGCTTATGAGAGTGCCCTTCATATCATACCTGCCCTGCTGTATAGATTTTCCCTCCCTCTTGCCTTCTATGTAAAAGCTTTGAATATTCTCAGGTATGGAAGGCAAGGCCGGTGGGAACTGGTGGTTTGTTAATTACATTTGAGCTGAGAGATCTGCTGAGGATGTATAATCCAGGTCATGCTGTGCTCCAGAGATGATGCTTTCTCAAAGATTTTTCCAGCAGTGCTGTGGCTCAGATACTTGTGGCTTTGTCTCACAGCTACTGGCTGTGCATACATCACTATCCTCCCCTTTTACTGTTCACTGGGTTGGAGTTCTCATACTTAAAATCAGATACCTCATGTATATTTATGTTGTTTGTTACAACTAATTAGTAGGCAAGGATTGCAATTCGGGCACCGAAGAGACTGGTTTGCAAGTTGTTCTTGACCTTACTAATGAATTGCTAATATTTAAGTTGGGAGCGGCCAACCTGCAACTTAGAAACTAAACAGAATTTTCTAGCAGTTCAAACCCCAAATCTGCATTTGACCACTATCAGGGATGCTCTGGTAGTAGGAAGTGCCCGATAAAATCTGAGTCCCTGAAATGGAAGAAAAGAGCAACTTCTTAGGTCAGTGCTGGTGGATTGCCTGGGACATGGCTGTGAGTGAAGATCTTCCCCATTCTGCTACAAAGCTGAGGACACTTTTGGTGATCTAGTCTCTCCTCCTGCCTGTGAACTTATTAAAATATCATTTAAAGCTCCGTTTGGGGACATCAGATCACATGAAACAGCTTCAGAGCTCCATGTGATCTGCAATCATAAGTTCACCACCGCTGAAAGTCCAGCCCTGCCTTTGACAAGTGCCCACAATGGTACCAGTGGCAGATTAGGACCATACTAAGTATGTACAGCATCTCTGACATTCCCCCAAACACCAAACTGCTCTCTCTCCCCTTATTACATGGCATCACATATTTCTGTTTCATAGAGCTTAGGTCAAACATACCTGAAAGGTTTTGTCCACTTTTGTTTTCTTATTAACTTGCTAACAAAACAAACATACTCCAAACTGTCAGAAGACATGAAACAGTCACAGGACACCTCACGGTGCATTAATTCAAGACTACTCTGTTCTGTGCCCCTCCAAAATTCTTTGTACACATAGTCGGTATTTTAGAATTGGGTGAATGAGCAATTCTGGTAGCCACATGTCCAACAACTGGTAAAAATAGTTTAAGAATTTTGCTTAAATGTCTATGTAGGCTAAAGAACATAGAAAAAAATTTTCACACATTGTAGTAACCTAGTTTCTTTTACAGGCTAGTTTAAATAGTGTTTAAGGTGATTTTAAGGCTACTTGTACTTTCTGAAAGGTCTCTTATTTTACTCACTTGGAGCCCACAATCCTTTCACATCTTCCCAGCTGTGAATTTGACAGATTATATCACAAAGGTCCTTTTCCCCCCTCTTTTTTCACTTTCCTCATGTTCTACTTTGGGAAAGACTGAATTTCTTTTAAGTCATAATACAATATGAATAATTGAGTTTCCTTCACTGCTACCAGCATTCCCATCTTTGAAGTTTTTCTCAGACGTCTTTATACAAAAACATCCTCACAATACACATCTACTAGTCTGCGCTCCCTTCGATTAAAAGGCATGTCAACATCAGGAGTGGATTTCAATAGATTCACAGTATGACAGAGACCCAGGCTACAATCATAGCCATGGCTGAAGGTATTACAGCTTCCAACTGCCATATCACTTCCAAGAAATGTGGGAAAACAGTGGCATCAGTTTATGAGCACTTCTGTTGATAATTCTGATGATGACACTTCAGAGGCTGTTTGTGCTGAAAATAATTGAATCATCATCTGACTCACTTTCAGAAACCTGATTAAATTACATGAATTATGGATGTGCTATATCAAAATATGAAGCACTTTTAGCAAATCTTTAAAGATGTTCTCCCTGAAGATGTGTTGCAACCCAAGGATCATGTTCCAATTTCAGCTGCAATACACAAATTTTCAAAACTAATTTTCTCATACTCAGAGCAAAGTTTAATTCCATTCGCTCTCAGAGTTTCCTTTGACTCACCTGTGTCCCTCTTCAGATACCTGAAATAGGCTGGAATACTTAGTTTCCCAGCAACACAAAAAACTTACTTTTCACCTTCTTTGCTTAGGATGAGATTGTCAAGAACTACTACATCTTTGAGAATGTATGATGGGCTCTGTGGTTCATGCAGGCTTTGGCACAAAAAGAGGGCACCAGGATTTGTCTTTATCTTGAGTGTGCCCCAAGAGCTTAAAAGTATTGCAGAGCCAATCATCCCACAGGGCTTTTACAAATAATGAAACCAGTAATGTCAAATGGGTGGGAAATAGAGCAAGACACACAGAATAAGGACCCCATCACATCCTGACCATGGAGATTTACCAGATTTACCAGTATTTAGCTGCAAAAGAAGTTGCCTTAAATACCCATCTCCCCTAACTAGGTTTCTTCTGCATAAAATTAATATTCTTCTTGGACTCACTGTTTAATTCAGTGCTGATAAATTAATTTTCCTGGAAAGGGAAAACACCTTCTGTTTCATTTCAGACTTCTGGAAGAATCACAGAAAACCACTGGTAAAACAGATTACAGAGATATTGGAAGCATCACCATCTATGTATGAATTTGGCTTGCAAAAACCTCTATGCAGTAAACCCCTCTTTCCATTACTCATTCTTGCTAAGGTATCTGTGTGTGCTAAGAAATCAGAAAATGTGAAAAAATGTCCTTACAGCAAAATAGAACCAACTTGAGCCTACAGGTAAAGTCTTACTCCTCTTCCATGAAGACCAACAAATAGAGATATTGCTCTTTGGACCCTCCCCCAGCCATCTACTGCTATGCATCACCATCTATTTAGGATATGATTTTCCATCAGTTCTAGAGACCTCAGGTCAGGACAGGTGAGGTGTCACCCTTTCTCTCTTTACCCTCCTCTCCATGCTTTCTCATCACCTCTTTTGTGCCTGACTAGTGATCATGGTTCACACGAAACAATTCAGAGAGATGTTCTGGTAACAAAAATAACTAATTGAAAAAAAAATAAAAATAAAAAAATCCCCAAACCCCCATCCAAACTCAAAAACCTACACAACTTCCTGGTTTGCCTTAGCAAACCCGGACTCAAGTTTCCATGCTAGCCACATGTCTAGAGAGCTGTTGGAAAGGGTCAGACAACTGCAATCCAGACATCAATCAGCATATACTGCTGTGGGACTGTACCCTTGAGTACATCAGAGCATGTGAAGGGACAATTTTACACAGAATACAAGGTTAAGTTTATCTTGATGCTGGTGGCTATAATGTTTTAGACCCCATTTTTCTCCAGAGCTATTTCTCCTCTCAAAGACAAATGTGTGGTTGTTAATAAGGGGAAGCTTTTCCAGCAGGGAACACTGAGAGCTCAGCTCTTGTATAAGCCCATGTTGGTGCATTCCTGTAGTACAGAAAATTCACACCACCAGTTGCCTCTTTGGTGTGTCATAAATGTTCCTCCCACTCTGGTATTAAAGAGTTAGAAATAGAAACTGGAAAATAAAGGGAAAGAATGAGTTGTTCTGTTCTTTCGTGTTTGTAGAGACTGACTCCAAAAAACCCTGAGTCTCATGACTTTTAGCTTTCCATTAGAAACTGATTCTGTAATCATCAGAGATCAAAGCCAGCTTTTTAACATGAAGCCATTTTTAACATTAAAAAATTCACAAAGCATGCAAAGCAAGAAAGAATTTGCTTTAGCCAGGTATTGACCCTCCATATAATCTCTTCAAAGGAATCTGAGAGTCACTTCCCAGAATAATGCCCCAAGGAAATGACAAGTGCAGTGATAAGTTGTCTTTACTTATTGTTTTGTTTTAATAAAGAAATCTGATTCAAAGCTTTGCATGTCCCATGAATGTCCCCAGGACAGATAGAGATGAAAAACATAAATTTCATTTTCTAGTCATTCCAGAGATGCATTAATACTGTAAAAGAGGAAAACTGACTGTAATGCTGAGATATATTTTTAGTGTCCTCTCTTTCATCTCTCATATTGGAATTAGAGTTTTGGTTCTAATTCACGCCTGGATGGGGAATATTATCCATGCTGTAACATAACTCTGATTCTGAGCTCAGTCTAAAGATGTATTCAAATCACCTTCAGGAACTGCTGAATTTCAGGGCACTAACTCTGAGAAAACTTCCCAGTCCCCCTGTTATGAGCCACCCAAGTCCCAGTGATGCCAGTGATCAGTTGTGCAGCCCCGCTGTCAGTAGTCCTGCTCATTTCCAAGGTATCACACAACATCATCTTATATAAAGCTCTGGTCTGGTTTCATCAGGGGATCTGTAACCTATGAACTTACCATAGCTTCATTTTTTCTTACAAGTAGGGATCAAACCTAGCTTTAAGTAATAAAGTAATGGCCAGTCTTCACGAATGAAGAACCAGGGAAGGTCTTTCCACCTTCCAGCCTGCTCATTGGATTTTTTAGGTGAGACACAGTGCACGCGGAACTGAGCCCACCCTTTAATCCTGAGGTTCATCTGCCGGGGCCAAGCGAGCTTGGACGGTGGCAGCGAGGTCCTCAGGACGTAGATGGATTGCCTTACAGGGCTAACGAGCTCCATCTGCCCGGGGAGTGGCCCCGACCGGGAATCGAACCCAGGCCTCGGCGGTGACAGCGCCGTGTCCTTAACCTCTAGACCACCAGGGGCTCCCTAGCTTTAAGTAGCTGATGCATCATGCTGATAGACTAAATAAAATTATGATAATCAAGGGCACAAAAATTAACCATGGGAAGTATCAAGGCCCGGAGAGCACTAATGAGCTTTAATGTCCCTGACCAGCCCCATCTGGGAGCTCCCTTTAAGACCACAGTCGAGGCTTTGGTCCTTGCCTGAACTATGCTGGAGGAGTGCCAATGCCCAGTT